ATTTTTTTTTTTTTTTTTTTTTTTGTGAACAAGCCTAATCTTCATAATTACACAGCCCAAATATTCATTTTAGCTGGATGCATGTCATATTTCCAAGCCAATAAAATTAAATAGTATTGCCTGTCAAACAATATAAAACACTGTGAAGATAGTTTAACAAGAATAAATATATAAAGGAAAAAATATATTAAAAGTCAAATGTAATAAAATGAAATTATCTTTCATAATGAAATATCATAGTGACATATTACGCTAAAATACATCATTTATTATTATTATTATTAAATCACATTTGTACTACTATTTAATGTCTATATAATGCATTTATTTTCTGAAATAGATGTTAAATTGGCTGTAATCATTATTAATAAATAAAACTGAATATAAAATGAATATGCATGTATTTATTTATAGTTATGTAAAAAAATATATAGATTAATTATATAACACAATGAAAGAATGATTAAGAATAATTAAAAATAAGTATATAAGTTAATGAATAAACTGATAAATAAACTGTAACAATAGCAGTATCAGAAATAACAGTTTTTAGTCAAAATCCAAATCAATAAAAAATGGAGCAAAATGTAATTTAACCTAATATTAAAACTAAGACACATGTTTTCAAATTTCAAATCTATCTTACCTAACATAAGCTTGTGCTCCCATCTAGTGGATAACACATCTAGCTCAACACTGTGACTCCACTGCCATCTAGTGTTCTAGTGTTCTCCTGGAACCTTCACTGGACAGTCAAGATACTGTACATCCATGACATGAAGGAAGTCTTCACTGTGGGATTTATCTAGAAAACTTACATCTAATACCAGTTTCATAGCACATCACAATGCAAAGCAGCACAGTAAGACAGGAAAACGTCTCAGGTTACTTATGTAACCATGGTTCCCTGAGTAGGGAACGAGACACTGCGTCCTCTAGGGGACGCTATGGGGGGAACGCCTCGTCACCCCTAGAGGACGCAGTTCGAAGTTCCCATGAAAGGGAAAGTGAGTTATATACCTCTATGGACACTCTATCTATCTGTATATCTATCCCTCTCCCTCACTGCTTTGAGAAGCACATCTGTTCTGAGTTAACAGGCCTCAGCCGCCCCGATCTCCCTCTGGCCTCTCAGACTCCTTCAAATACAGCTCAACTTCTGAACTTCCGACATGATCTGGGTCAATTCCTCTGCCCTCGCCCTCAAGGAAATACACTTCAGCCAACTAATCACTGCTTAAGAGGCAAAACGCACTTTAGAGGGTTCAACACACACATATATATATCAAACTAGTATCCAATGGAGAACACTGACCACCAATTTTTTTGAGCATCTTGTGCCACAAGCGCCATGTTTTTAAAAACGTTTTGTTCAGCCTAGCTTTTTTATGCACATGAACACGTCCTGTGAGAAAGACCCCTAACATGTCTAAATCCTATATTCATCCGGACCAACCTCCGTCTTACCCGCATTGTTTCCATGGCAATGATGTTGTCTGTTTCTGTGATGATGTCACCTCCTAAACGGAGATTCTGACAGCACATCCTCACCCCTGCCTAGTATGTGTCAGCGTGAGCCACGGGACAGAACTAAACATCCAAACATCATTTACTGATTAAACACTGATTCAGAATGCTCTTACTGGGGTTAAAAATGTCAACAGCCATGAAGACAAACAGAAGCCTCAAAATAAAGTTTAGAGACAAGGTAGAGCATAGATGTGGGCTCCAAATGATCACCAGTCCCCCCTAGTTTGCAGTGTTCTAATTTTAAGCAGACTGTTTTATTAAAAATTATATTATTTATCAGCATAACAATTTTATAAAGTTATGAAGGGGTTAGGTTTTGTGTAAATTTGTGGTGTTCATACAAACCAAATACTGACCATTATCAGTATAAATTACAGCATAATTTTGAATCCCACATGTAATGTTTATTTGTAGTTTTGAAGTATTGAATAAAAAAAAAACATGTTTTCAAAGTTAATTTTTTTATGCCTTAATATAAAATATTATATAATAAATACAAACAATTTTTATTTAAATATGAATGAAACACATAATAATATTAAATATATTAACAATATATGAATTATATTAAATTAATAGCATTAACTATTAAGAAAATGCAAATATAAATATATACAGTAAATAAAACTATTTTCTTTAACTCTATAGCTATATTTTCACATTTAAAAAAAAAATCCAATCAATTGAGGAAATATCGAGTGTGATATTAAAAAGAAAAATAATCATTTAATGTTGCAAATTGAAAGCATACAGATGTTTAACTACTGTATGTGGTCAATAAAATAATTACAATTAATCTCACAATTTCTGACTATTCTTATATTATCAAATATGAATAAACTGTATAATATCAGAAATTAATTAAGAGTATTATATTATAATAGTTTGTTGGTTTGGTTGTAAAATCTAAATCTTAAATGTTGAGCAGACTTTCTAAAAACCCATTGGTTGCAGCCATATGGCAACCACGGTTGCTATATAAGAGGAAAGAGAGGGGAGCTATTCAATCTATGCATGACTGAGTGTTTACCTTTTGAAGAATGACATCATATCTGACTTCAGTCTTGTTAAATGGGAGCGGTGAGAGACCCAAAACACACGCAAACACTCTAGCGCCCTAGCAATGCTGACCAGACATGACACACTGGAGTCCAGAAAACCGTGAACAGACTCACTTGATCTCTCTCTTCTCTCTATTTCTCTCAGCAGCTTGATTACTCGTCATTTGGCCGCTCTTGGGCACAACTTACGGCACATTAACTCTCTCTCTCAGTACATATGGTATAGAGGCGGTTTGTAAGAGGTACTTCTGATAAATGAGAGGTTCTGTGTGAGTTATTCAGGCAAACTGAGGGTCTGAAGAGTTTCTCATCACACCACAAAAAGCATCTGTACTTTCATGAAAAAGAGAGCACTTTATGTGGCAAAGCACATCAGCAGTCCCACATCAGATCTCACAAAACTCTATAATGGTCAATAACTGGTTTCACAGATAATTACAAATAAATATTTTGCTTTACATTTTTACTTTACGTCCAACTGCTGGGAAAACTAAAATATCCCAAATGTAAACATTAGAGTTTGGAAAAACAAATCATCATGTTGCTCATCCAGGTATACTGACAACAGTTTGACTTACTTTTTCCACAGCACTGTGAATGTTTAATGAGATGTGTTCAGTAAAGAAGACTTGAACGATTGTAATTGTCTGTGTGTTAGCTTAAGCACATTGTGTTTGTCTATACTTGTGACTTTGATGTAGATCAGATGCCATTTTATGACCAATTAACGCAGAAAACCACCAAATCTAATGGGTTCACATACTTTTTCTTACCACTGTAGACAGACAGACATGATACAGACAGACAGACGGATGGATGGCTGTTCTGGGTGGAGGCAGTGGAGAATGTGCTAGATTATTGGGCACATTTGGCAATAAGTTGCCCCTTTGGCAACTCTTATAGTGCCTGTACAACACACACAGGCAGTCATTCATCCATCTCTCTCTTCTTCTCTCTCTTCTTCCTCTCGTTTAAGAACATTTAGACCCAGCGTTGAAGTCAGTCCGGACCAGGCTTCACCATGTCTGCAGTGAAAGTCATGCTGTGGATGTGTGTGTGTATTTGTCTGATTCTTACTGCTAAAGCTCAAGGCATAATGACCATCAGAGATCAAAACAATAATTCAGCAAAAAAGGTAAGGTTCTTCCGTTTCTCAAGTCTATATCAAGAGCACAGCACTGGTGAGCGTCGTTTGTTTCCTTAAAAGGTTTCAAAAGGTTCTTCCAATATATATATATATATATATATATATATATATATATATATTCTGTCATTTACTTATCATATCACATACCTAAATTGTTCCAAACCTGGATGACTTTCCTCTGTGAATGACAAAAGGAGTCCAAGCTGCTCTTTTTCACACAATGGCTCAAACACCAAATTTCTTGGCTAAATTTCTCCTTTAGTGTTCCTTGGAAATTCCGTGTAGCTTTAAACATTCAACATGTGAAACGTCTAACCCTCTGCTGATATAGAACATTGGCAAGCTCCAGTACTTCACAGCAGTGTCATCTAGGGCACTGAATCTCAACTCGTCCTGGGGAGCCACCACTCTGCAAATTTTGTATGACTTCCTTATTTAACACAACTGATTCAAATCAACAGGTCAGCAGTAGAAATCTCCATAAACTGAACCAAGTGTGCCAGATAAGAGAGACATACAAAATGTGCAGAGCAGTGGGTCCCCAGTTGAGAATTTAGGGTCTGATTTAGGGTCAGTTAAACAAAATCTGACTAGATAATTAAACAATTAATCAACAATGTTATCAAAACTATGATTTACATACTTCTTTGAACAAGACTATTCACAGTTGGGAATGGTGACTTGGAACCTGAGATGAGGAGGACTCACTAAGGTCAGTAATATGGAACATGATATGATCATTAGGCCTGTGGAATTCACTTGTGTCTGATTTTCACATGTGATTTTGCATTCAGACTAATGCTGAAAAATGGCACACAGGCTGAATGAAAATGATAAATTCACTCTCTGACAGTAGGTGGCGCTTATCCACCTTATTTTTCAATGCTATTTCCTGAAAATGAGCGAGATTTCTGATTCATTAGCCACTATATATAATTATCTAGAAGATTTACAGTAAAGAAGTGCAGTAAACTGTAAAACTATCTACCCTACAAACCAATGTGTCTATGACTGAAATACTACATTAAAATAATATGAGAATAAATACCAGTTTGCAACATCAAGCAGCATAACAGGCTGTACAGCTAAAATAACTGAAAGTGGCTGCCACCAGAAGTCTTTCAAGTTTAAAATGAGCGTGTCTGTTTATACATTAAAAATATGGTGGATAGAAAAAGTACACGAAAGTACTCAAAGTGCTAAGCTTTTCATTTCTGACACCCACTTGTCACCGAAAAGAAAAAAAAATGTATGTCCATGTTTTTTAACAGCCATTCATATTTTTGTATTTGCTATGGCGTTTATCAGGATTAAAGAGACAAGAGAGCTGGTTCTGGATTCTTCCTATTTATTGCCAGAGCTGGGTAGTAACAGATTACATGTAATCTGGATTACGTAATCAGATTCCAAAAATGTAATTCTTGAAATTAGATTATATTATATTTTAAAATATTCATAGTCAGACTACAGTTACTGTTTTATTGATTACATATTATTTGTACAATAGCAATAAATTATTCATAATTTCTTGGTTCTCCCTGATTCCCCTTGAGATTTGATACCCCTGAGATTTAAAAATAAATATTGTAATAATTAAGTAACACATTTGGGGAAATGCAAATGTTGGGGATGTGCCATATCTTATAAAAGAAAATAATTGTTTTGAAGCTTCGATCATATGCATGTAGATTCTCAAACTTTCTCTTACTATCTATCAGTCTCTCTCTCAGATAGAAGTGCAAAGTACGCGAATGGACTGCAAGGTCGCGTCTCATTTTGTTCACACAGTCATGACCACCAAAGCCCTGAACACAGCCAATGCATCACAGGAAGTGTTCTTTGAGGTGGACTTGCCCAAAACAGCCTTCATCACCAGCTTTAGCATGTTAGTCCATCTTTCTTTACACAAGCTATAAATATATTACACTCACAATCTTTGTCTAGCATGCCCAAAACAAACAAGTGCCTCAGGAAATATTTTGTGTTTGGTCTTTTAGAGAGATTGAGGGCAGGATATATGTCAGCGAGGTGAAGGAAAAAGAGCAGGCCAGGCAGCAGTATGAGAGCGCTGTGTCATCCGGACAAACTGCTGGCCTGGTTAAGCAAGTACAGGTCAATGGCAAAGCTCTGGAATGCTGACAGAGTACACATTTGCTAATCTCACTTATCAGAAATGAGAACTGTTTTTGCTTTTCGGGGCTTCGGGAAGGAAAATGGAGACGTTTTCGGTGTCTGTGAACATCGCACCACAGAGCAGCGTCACATTCACTCTTACTTATGAAGAGCTGCTGCAGCGGCGTCTTGGCAGCTATGAGATCATGTTAGGCGTCCGACCGAAACAGCTGGTTCAGAATTTTGAGGTTCATCATTAGTTTCTCTCTCAAACTCTTTCATTGCACGTATTCAGTTGAAATGTTTAAATATTGTAAGCTATGTTATATCAGTCGTGTCTCTCATCCACAGATTGTGGTAGATATCTATGAACCTAAAGGAATTGCGTTTGTGGACGTCAACGGTACATTCATCACCAATGAACTGCTCCCTCTAGTGAAGAAAACTGTCACTGATAAAAAGGTTCAAATTAAAACTTTCCAACAATCCCCTAGCATTGGTTGATTAAAATGACAGCCCATTTATGCCTTAGTGAAACAAAACAAAACAAAAGCAAAACAAAAAGCCAAACCAAACCAATCAATCGAACTATTTCTTGTAATTGTATACATTTCTCAAAAGTGTGAGTTTATATCTTGCAATTGCGACTTAATATTTCACAATTGACTACTGTGACTGTCATAGATTATTTTTCAACTTATGATTTCTCATAATTGCACTTTTATGTCACAATTGTGAGTATTTCTTTATATGTTGTAACTGCGACTTAATTTATCGTAATTGCGCACTTGTATCTCAAACCTGAAACTTAATTTCTTACAAAAAAGTATTGTTTATTTCAAAATATCACAATTATCCAACAATTCCCTACCACTGGTTAACTAAACTATGCAAAAAAAGTACAAAGCCAAACCAAACTTAATAAATAAATAAAGGCAGTGGCGACTTTTGTGACTTAATTTTTTGTAATTGTACCGATTTCTTGTAATTGCACCGATTTCTTGTAATTGCAAACATTTCTTAAAGTTGCAATTTTATATCTTGTAATAATTGTGACTTCCTATATACACAATTGACTACTGTGACTGTCATGGATAGACAGGTTATTTCTCAAATTGTGACTTCATATCTAACCAAAATGTTTTTTTTTCTCATAATTGCTCTTTTATGTCAAAATCGTGAGTATTTCTCATAGCTTTATATCTTGTAACTGTGACTTAATTTATTGTAATTTCGAATTTATATCTGAAACCTGAAACTTAATTTCTTACAAAAAAGTATAGTTTATTTTTAAGTATCGCAATTACCTGTAGACTAGTTAAGTTGACTAGCTCCAATTTGCACTGTGTCCTAACCAGGAGACAGTTTCCAGAAATAAGTGTTTTGATCTAGTGATAAATGGTTTATCATTAAGCATCTCATTTTACCAACAACGAGCCTAAAAACACTTCAGCAGTTAACTACAAGAGGAAACACTTCCTGCTCTGCTCGTAACATTGATCATCTGTGATCCTCTTCAGGCATATGTGTACTTCTCTCCTACACTGGAACAGCAGAAGACATGCTCAGACTGTGAAGACACTTTGATTGACGGAGATCTATTCATCAGATATGATGTGAACCACCCACAGGATATAGGTGAAATTCAGGTACAATATCAGCAAAGCCTATTCTCACAATGAATGTCTTACTAATCATGCTTTATTCTGATGTTCTCAAGTTTCTGTTTCAGATAATAAACGGCTACTTTGTACACTTTTTTGCCCCAGATGATTTGCCACAAATGCCTAAAAATGTGGCATTTGTGATAGACCGAAGTGGCTCCATGGAGGGAGAGAAGATGAAACAGGCAAGTCAAGATGAACACATTCCTATACTTTCCTCCTGTTTTGTACGTTTGCATCATCTGCTGATTATCTGTTGGTAGACTCGAGAAGCTCTGATGACTATATTAAGTGAACTGCATGAAGATGATTACTTTGGGCTGGTCACGTTTGATGACACTATAGAGTCGTGGAGACCATTTCTTAGCAAAGCTACACCAGAGAATGTGACAGAAGCGAAAGAATTTGTTCGGACTATTAAAGCGAGACACAGTAAGTATGAAAGCTAAATAAAAGGACTGTAAACCCTGCACAAGGTTGAAATCATGGCCTAGCTGTAAGTACTCTGACATATTGTGCCATGGTTCTCATGTAACCCAGTACAACAAGCCTTTATTTTACAGTAAATTACAAGTTTTATCTTTTACTGCCACTGTATTCTGTCATATTTTTCCATTAGTGACCGATATAAACAAGGGCCTTTTGTATGCGGTGGACATGCTTACCTCCGAAAAAAGTGACTATTTCCCAGACATGTCCATGATCATTCTACTAACTGATGGCCGACCCAATTCTGGTGTGTATTGGCTTTGCAGAATAAAAAAATTGTTTTAAAATACTTTGTCTTTGGTAATAATTAATACAAATGAATAAATGAATGTTGACTTTATTAGGCATTTCATATAAAACTTTAGAACAGGGGTTTTCAAACTGGGTACGAGGGAGTGCTATGGCTTCATAGAAATTAAAACAACAATCAGGGTAAAATAGATCAAATAAATATATAATAAACATATAATATTTTGCAGCATCTTACATATGAGTGCACATTAAGATTCTGTGTCAAGTTAAAAGAAGTTCAACTTTCAAAGCATGTGAAGAGACGTGCTCTAGTATTCGCCTTTGCGAAATAAATTTGTATTGTATATATT